CCCCACCCCACCCCCCCAGCACGCACCCCGGCTGCTCGTAGGGAAATGTGTGATATAGGCACAAATGTATGTTCAGTAATCTATAGGTACACAGAAATATTTTTAGCTAAACACCTGTGTGTATGTGGTTTACATATTCAAACACATTTACACAAGCAGTAATGTGTGTATATATATATGTTTATCAAGACACATCTTTTGTGAGCTAGAGAGCAAAAGAGCAGGGAAGCACAAGAGCACAAACAAGACAGCATGGACACGGAGTGTGTGTGTGTGTGTGTGTGTGTGTTGCTGTATTATTATACTTACACAGACATATCCCAAGGCTCAGAGACAAAGAGCACAAGTGAGTTGAGTTATAGGTTTCCATTTATGAGACATACGTGGTTGCAGGCTTACTGATGTACACACATGCAACATAAAGTATTTATTTCTTCATGTACAGATATATTCAGCGAAAGAGAAAAAATTATCACACACATAGATATGGCTACTCATATATATATTTTTTATATATTTATATAAAAACATTTAAATATGAATGTATAGATATAGATATACACACATACAAACGTGTATATGTCTGTATTATCTATCACCCCATATATGGAGAGACAGATGATCATACACACTCAGACACATGTTAAATTATTTTATACTTATATGCTTGTATTTGTATGTGTGCATGTGTGTTTTTTCTCTGTCTACACACACACACAGATACCCCCCATATTTTTTTCTTAATATATTCGTACACTTATATGTGTGGGGTTTATGTATATTATTTATATATTTTTAATATATTTATATATTATTTCTACATTTCTGTGTTTTATATATATAAATGGATCATATACATGCGGGGGGGTGTTTATAGTTTAGCTATTTTTGTATTTCTTTGAGAAAGAGAGGGGGAGGGAGGGAGGCGGGGAGAGAAAAATGAAAGAAAATACAGACACGTAAATAAATATTTAAATAAATTTGGTGTAGAGGTGGATATGGGGATATCTGCGTGTGAGTTGGGAGGGGGGGAGATGACCAGTTCCCTTGTGCTCTCTCTGCATATATACACACACAAGACAGACACAATATATCTCAAGATCAATACACACACACACACACATATATGCATCCCAGATATTATATATGGGGGCTGAAGAGAGGGTACAACAGATCACAACCTCACACACACACACGCATTTTTATGGGGGGGCGTGGGTGTGAGGGGGGGGTATTTTTTACCATTCTCTGTGTAGGCCTTTTTCTCTTTCTCGGGGCGAGGAGGGGAAGACAGAGAGAATGATAGAAAATACACACACACACACAATTAGTTACATATATAAGTAAACAAATAAAGTATATGTGGCAGGGGATATGGGGAATGTGCTGTTTGTGCATGTGTGAATAGTGCACACATATATGTATATATGCACATGTATGTGTGTATGTATAGCAAGAGAAAAATATGTGTGTAAACAGCTCTCCCTCACACTCTCTCTGTAAGTAAATATGTATATATGCACACAGAGAGAGAAGGTATTGTGTGTCTAAGTATATATGTATAGATGGGGGGGCTACCACGTGTGTGAACATCTAATTATATATATTATAATATATAAAATTATATAGTCATATATTTGTGTGTATATATAGCGAGAGATTGTGTGTTTGTGTGAACAGTGCTCTCGGTGAGTATATATGCATATATATGTGTATATATTTATAGCAAGAGAGAAGTAAGTGTGTGTGTGAGAACAAGTCTACATATGTATATATGTGTGTGAGTATATATATAGCAGGAGAATTTGTGTGAAGAGCTCTCTATCCCTTTCTAAGTGTATATATATGTAGTGAGAGAATTATGCATGTGTGTGAACAGCTCGCATGCTCTCGCTCTGTATATACGTGTGTGTAAACAGCACTTTCTCTAATTATATATGTATATATGCATAAAGAGAATTATGTGTGTGAACAGTCTCTCTGTATATATATAAAAAAAGTATATATGTATATATGCATCTATGTAGGCATATCGATAACAAGAGTAGTGTGTGTGTGTGAGCGCAGCTATCGCTCTCTCTATATGTATATACATAGACAATATATATGAAGATATAAACATGTATCTGTATATATTTATGCACCCCATTATACATGGGGGGAGGGGGGGAAAGAGATAGAGAGAATGATAGAACATATGTGTGTGTGCATGTGCGTGTGTGTTTGAAAAGCTCTCACTCTTTTTCTCAAGTATATAGGCAAATATACCTGAATATATATACACACACTTCAGGAGAGAATAATGTGTGTGAATGGCTCTCACCCACTCGTGTGAGAGAGAGAGTGTGACAAGAGAGACTACTGTGTACGTATTCGTGCATAAGCAGCTCTCTAAGTACAGATGTATATATATTGGAGGGGAGGTAGAGAGCGTGTGTGTGAAAAGCCCTCACACTCTCTCTCTGCGTACATATGTATATGTATGTGCATATAGACAGAGATTAAGAGAGAAGGGGTGGGTGTGAACAGGGCTCTCTAAGTATATATGTGCCTGTATGTGCGTGTGCGTGTATGTATATTAAAAAAAAAAAGACATGTTTGTATGCATGTGTGTATATACATGCACATATATATAGCAAGAAAGTATTGTGTGTGTGAGAACAGTTCTCTGAACA